TATTTAATTCAACTCAATAAACATTTATTAAGCATCGAGTATATGTAAAGCACTGGAGAAACAAGGATAAAAACCAAGAACAGTCCCAGCCTTCAAGGAATTAAACATAAATAAATACAATATAAGAAAACACTGACAACTAAGGGGATCAGGAAATGTTTCAGTGATATCTTAACCAAGGCTTGAAGGAAGCTAAGGATTAAACATATTCCATATGTTTACATAAATGATAATTCCTGTGTTTTTAACTGTTATCCAAAGAAAGGTTTCAATCTTTAGCTAAAGCAAACACTGTACTGGTTTACATGTTTATGCATCTGTGATTGTAATAAAACTTTTTTATATAAGTAAAACTTCTATAGTTCAGATTTTATGATACTTTTACTCTGGTCAGGCTGATATTGATCTTTGTACCATCTACTAGAAACAAAAAAGATTTACTGAACTATTCTAAATAAGAATGGAGGACAGAAGGTGTAAAATTTACTTACAGGCAGCAATAAAATAAGGGGATTAGACAAGATGGCTTCTAAGCTCCCTTTCAGCTCTAAATCTATCATCCTAAATTATAGCAAATACTCAAAAACTGGCTAATGTTCAATATTAACCACACTGACTTGACTTGTTAATACACTTTTGATTTCATGAACTGGTAAATTAAACCAAAGGATAAAAAATCTTTTATAATGAATATTCAACATCTATCCCATCCTGCTTTAGTTCCCTTTTGGCCTTAGGTTAAGTATTATGAAACATTACCCATAAAATATATATATATTAAATAGAATTTCTTTGCTTAAATTTTTGTTGTTGTTAAGTCATTTGGTTTGCATTTCCTTCTCCAATGCATTTTAAGAGGAACTAAGGCAAACAGGGTTAAGTGACTTGTCCAAGATCACACAGTTAGTGTCTGAGGCCACATAAAGATGGGTCCTCCTGATTCCAAGCCCAGTCCTCTATCCACTATGCCATCCACCTGCCCCCTTCTTCTTAAATAACTTATAGCTATTCATCAAGGAAGATATGGCAGGACATACTGTTAACAGCAATTAATTTGTATTTCTGCACACATCTGTAATAAAATGGCATTTCATTCTTTTTTTTTTTTTTTTAATTTTTAGGCAATTGGGGTTAAATGACTTGTCCAGGGTCACACAGCTAGTGTCAAGTGATTGGTCTGAGACTGGATTTGAACTCTGGTCCTCCTGACTTCAGGGCCGGTACTCTCTCCACTACGCCACCTAGCTGCCCCTTATAAAATGGCATTTAAAAAATGCTATCATTCAAACTGTCTCCTTCAAATTCCATATTAGTGAAGTTTATGCTATATGTCTATCCATGCCAATGTGATCTGTGAAGTCAAAGTTAATGGACCCTGACTATTTAACTTGCTTTGATTGGTATCCAAAATTGCACTGTGCATAAATGAGCACTTTTATATATAAAAAAATTTTCTTATTTATATATTTATATATTTTATATATAAAAATTTTCTTTATATAAAGAAAATTTCCTGAACATGATAACAAATTACCTTAAGAATATAGGTACAGTTTGTTACTGAGCATTTCAACTTTGCTTATTCTTTCACTTCCAAGTTTTAAAATTAAACTTTCCATCTGTCCATCATCATACACTAGGGAGGTAACTATGGTTAACCTACAAAAGTGTTACTCTTAAGCAAAGGGCCTGAATGAGCTAGGAAACTGAATTTAAGTTTCCCTCACAAGAATTTGGCTATTTACTCTAAAGGCAAATCAGCATTAAAGGGCTGGATATATTTTTGAGAAAAAGTCTTTTCTGGGGAGATGTTACTCTTATTCACATTAGAACACCCCATCATGTATTATAAGGCAGTGTAGAAAATTGACAGAGGAAAAAAAGCTAGATGTCAAATGAGGTTTTTGTCAATGTTAAGCCTTATGAATGAGCGATATGTTTACACAAAGAACTCTTACAAGAGGAGCTGAAACAATTGCCCCGTGATATTAGTAAATGATTTCAGCACACACAACAAAACCACGATGGCAATAATTCAAGTTTTCTAAAAAAGAATCTGAACAAGACCAAAGATACAGAGAATTATATAGCTTTCCACCAAATCAGATTATTTAAATGTTTCAATCAATGAGATATAAATTAACATGCACATCAAATAAACCTTGAGGTAACTGAGTGAGATTTTGACATTTAAATTTGACCTTTAGACAGAAGAAAGGTGACCTCATTTGTGAGTTATTTACCATGTCTTCAAAATCATGACCAGAATCAAGGTTTAAAAATGAATTTTTTGTAGTTCTTAGCATTTATTAAACATTTACTATGTGCAAGGCACTGTACATAGCATTAGCATCAAGTATACAAAGAACGGCAAAAAAGGATCCCTGCTCTCAAAGAGCTCACAGTCTAATAGGGAAGACAACATGCAACCAGCTATGTATAAGCAAAATGTATACAGGAAAAACTGGAGATAATTAGCAGAAAGAAGGCTTCAGGGGGATCAGGAAAGGCTTTTGTAGAAGGTCGAACTTTAGCTGGGACTTAAAGAAGTCAGGCAAGTTAGGAGATGGAGCAACTCGTGTGAGCAACAATAAGGAGTCAATGTCACAAAGTAAATACAAAAACATATACAAAATACAGCCAAAGATGCTCCCAGAAATGATGTAGAAGATGTTTCTCTCCCTTCAAAATACATACATAACTCAGAGTAAGAAAAGAAATTAGGGTTAGGAAGCTAAATTCTCTTTGTATCAGAGAGTTAGTGAATGCTAGCTATCGCAAACATGAAGAGATTTTTAAATTTGTGCCAACCTAGTCTACACTTAGCAGTGTCACTATAATTATACACTTACTTGAGTGAATGTGAATGGACTAAAAAGGAGCAGAGTCATAGAAGGGAATTTTTATTTGCTTGTATTTGCCTGGAACCTGATTTCTTTTGGACCCACAGTTTGTACTCCAACAGGTAGCAAAGGAACTTGGGGGCTTAGAGCTCCTTGTTATTTTCAAGAGTTCTAAGACACTTTAGCACTCTCACAAAGATTGTACCTTAATCTGACAGTGAACAGATGGGATCTAGGTTTACCTGAATTTGTCCTGGGGATCTCCTTTATATCTGCATACCTTGATTTTGAGTTGTAAATGAATGTTTGGGAATCCTCTCTCTAGAGGAAAAGGAGAGGGAGACGGATGTGCTTCCCTTGACAACTTAGATCTGGTTGTATCTTCTAGTTATTTAAACACTAAAGCACACTATACTTAAAAACAATGATGTTATATCTTTCAAAGGCAGAGAAAAGATCTTGGAAATATTATTATTTAGAAAACTAGGGTCTTATGCTAAGTATGAAATGATTATGCTCTCATAAGACAAGAGCCAGGGCGTGTTATTAAAGTAATTTCTGATTTACTATTCAGTTGCAGCTATGATAAATAAAGATTTTTTTTAAAGTTTCTCTTAATTCTATATTCATTGAATTCCCCTTTGCTACACATTAAACCCTGGAACCATAAGCTCATGCTATTTTCTCTGGAATGAGATTTCTTTAACTATGGAGAGCTTTGTTTTTGAGACCAACGTCTCACACCCCCCACCCTGACCCTTTGCCATTCATCACAATCTAACCTTCAGCTAGAATACAGCAAAATCTTTGTCAAAGAGGCATAACTACTCAAATGAAAAACCCTTTTGTCAATGGCAATCTAACTAGTACAGCACAAATAATATATGAAAATCGCTCAAGATTTTCCCGAGTGAGTTCCATTGTAAGCATTATAAGACAACGTATTTTGCTAAAATGGTCTACCAGCAGTATCCTCTATTAGGTTTTGGGGAAACACTTGAAGCCACAGAGCTATTTCTGTCTCAAATGTAGTGACACCACAAATGTGAAGAAGAAAGAAAAACACAACACAGTTAATGGTTGCACTGCATATCCAAATATTCTAGCAAGTTGCCAAATACTTAAAAGAAAATTGCTCATATTGATTTATATCAGTGCTAAGAAGCTAATAACTAAACTATTATGAATGAGTTGATGACAACATAAAGTTTCTATTGGCAAAAAAACAAAAACAAGATAAACAGTTGGATCAACATAGGAGGAAAACTAAAACAGACTTATTACCAATAATGTGAAGTTCTAGGGAGATAAGCACTTGTATGAGAAAATTAACCAGCCAAGTATGAACAAATTTAAAATGAACAATTGTGAAAATCTGGAATAGATTTGCTACTCTTGGTTTCAGAAGGCTACATTCAATACTCTTCCCTAAGAGGCTGTACAAAAGAAAAGGCTTAAAAAACTGTGGAAGAGATTCTTAAAGGAAAAGAGATGGCCAGGAACTGCTGTATCTTCGGAGGATGGGCTTTGTGCTTCTTCAACAATTAAACGACACTTAAAAAATTTATATTTATATCCAAAGAACAATGTTGAGATGAAGCTACTGGTTTCTGCTGGTCTCATGAAACCAATATTAAAAAAAAAATGGATTTTTAAATCTGCTGCCAGCTCAACTAGAGCTTTGTCAGATCACTCAATGTCAGGATGGGAAGAATCCATACTAGGCAACAAAATTAAACTTAAACTTCCTTATTCATAAAAATATCAAAGTGATAAAGCACCCGAGAAAGATGAATAATTTAAAAAATATACAATAGTTTTTGAAGGGCTATATTTTAGGTATTTATTAAAATTCAACTTGTCCACAGAAGTTTTCCTTTTAGGTCCTAAGCCTTTGGTCTGTGATTATAATTTGATTATACTAGTACCATTTTCATTGCTGACAGAAAAGATGTTAAATCACTGGGATACAGAATTGAAAAGAATCTCTCCCAAATTTGTTGACACTGTAGAGGAAGTGACAATCAAAAGAATGCGTTAAGCACTATGGCTGAGGACAGGACAGTTGCCATCTTAGCATGACAATGGCAAGACAGAAGTTCTTTAAGATATACTAAAAGAGTAACCTCCCCAGAACAAGTCCTGACTGGCACTTACCTGGAGGTGTGCAGGCATCCGCAGGAGACTGGACAAACGTGGATCGTCTTTTAGTTGGCATGGGTAGAGCCATTTTCTGTTCTTTATGCTTGGCCAATGCTGCTTGCACAGCTTCTGTATGAATATCTGAAAAATTAATGACATTTTGCATTTTTTACCTTTTCAAAATGCTTATTATGTAGAGAGAATATTTACAGGGTTCATTAAGGTTTGTAAAAAGTCTTTCTACACAACAGCCCTATTTGGTAAGTATTATTCCCCACTTTATCAATAAAGAAACAGCTCCCCCAACTGGTCCCCTCACAGGAGCTGCTTAACACCCTGAGAGGACTCCACCCTGAAGGTGAAGTCATTCATCAATGATTAACCAACTTTCTCTCCGCCACGCCCTCTAGATGATCTGCAATCATCAGATGTCATTATTCAAATCCTGTTCTCCATCCCCCACTGCTCCCTTCCTTATTCCCATCCCCCTTAACCTAACCTCTCCCTGTCTCCCTTCTCACCCCCCACCATATCCTGCTCTAAGATCATCTACCCTTTTCACTACTCTTGGGAATATTTGCTTTGCTCCATAGGTAGCAAACTTGATTTCCCCTTAAATCATTTCCGTTTCACTACTTTATTTTTTAAAAATTCAATATTTTATTTTCCCCAACAATTTTTAAACTTTTTTTTTTTAATTTTTGAGTTCCAAATTCTCTCCTTCCCCTCCCCATCTCATTGAGAAGACAAGCAATTTGATATAGGATATACATATGCAGTCACACAAAACATTTCCATGTTAGTCATGTTGTGAAAGAAAACACAGACAAAAAAAAAAAGAAACAAGAAAAGAAGGTTGCAACAGTTCATCTATGTTTTTCTAGGCTTTTCTGAGAGCATCCTGCTCATCATTTCTTAGAGCACAACAGTATTCCATCACAATCACATACCACAATTTGTTCTGCCATTCCCCAATTGATAGACCTCCCCCTCACTTTCCAATTCTTTGTCATGACTTAAAGAGCTGCTATAAATATTTTTTTGTACGCATAGGCCCTTTTCCTTTTGTTTTTTATCTCTCTGGGACACAGACCTAGTAGTAGTATTGCTTGGTCAAAGGGTATGCATGGTTTTATAGCCCTTTGAACATAGTTCCAAATTGCTCTACAGAATGGTTGAATCAGTATACAACTTCACCAACAGTTCAACAACGTCTCAATTTCCCCCATATCTATTCCAACATTTGTCATTTTCCTTTTCTGTCATATTAGCCAATCCGATAGGTGTGGGGTAGTACCTCAGAGTTGTTTTAGTTTGTATTTCTCTAATCAATGGTTATTCAGAGCATTTTTTTCACATGACTATAGACAGCTTCGATTACTTTATCTGAAAATTTCCTGTTCATATCCTTTGACCATTTATCAGTTGAGAAATGGCTTTTATTTCTATAAATTTGAGTCAGTTCTCTATATATTTGAGAAATGAGGTCTTTATCAGAGAAATTTGCTATAAATTTTTTTCACAGTCATGATGATTATGTATTTCCCTTCATCCTATTTCCCCCCGTTTATCCTACTTCCCCCTCTCTGCTCATTCTCAAAAGTATTTTATTTCTAACTTTTACCTCCCTTAATCTGCCCTCCCTTCTATCAGCACCCCGCTTCCCTTATCCCCTTCTCCTCCTACTTTCCTGCCTCATATGCTCCCACCTCCTCCCCCACTCCACCTCCCTTACCTTCCCTTTCACTGTAAGTGCTCTTTCGTGCCTCTTTTATGTCAGATAATTTACCCCCATTCTACCTCTCCCTTTCCTCTTCTCCCAGTGCATTTTTCTTTCTCACCCCTTAATTTATTTTTTTAGATAATCGCCCCATCATATTTAACTCACACCCGTGCCCTCTATATACTTATACTCCTTTTAACTGCCCTAATTATGAGAAAGTTCTTAGGAATTACAAGTATCATTTTCCCATGTGGGAATATAAATAGTTTAACCTTACAGAGTCCCTTTAAGATTTCTTTTTCCTGTTTACCTTTATATGATTCTCATGAGTCTTGTACTTGAAAGTCAAATTTTCTATTCAGTTCTGATCTTTCCATCAGGAATGCTTTAAAGTTCTCTATTTAATTTCCATTTTCCCCCCTGAAGGATTATAGTCAGTTTTGCTAAGTAGATGATCCTAGCTCCTTTACCCTCTGGAATATGATATTCCAAGCCCTCTGATTCTTTAATGTAGAATCTGCTAAATCTTGTGTTACTGGGACTACGGTTCCACGATATCTGAATTGTTTCCTTTTGGCTGCTTGCAATATTTTCTCCCTGAACTTGACTCGGCTATAAAATTCCTGGTAGTTTTCATTTTAGGATCTCTCAGGAGGTGATCAGGAGATTCTTCCACTTTCTATTTTACTCTCTGGTTCTAGACTATCAGGGTATTTTCCTTGATAATTTCCCCCTCTCCCCCTGTCCCCTTTCATCTTTTGGCTCAAACTGAGACGTGGCTCCCTCCTGATGACACAGCCTCCCTGGCCACCCTTTAACTGCACTACCTGGACTTTCACTTACTTCCCTCAACTGCTTGGTTGAGGTGGGGGAATTAGAATACTCCCTGCTTCTCACTGCCACTTCCAGATTCTCCCTCTATGACCATCACTCAGTAACCTCTATGTCTCTGAGTTTTACTCAATTCGGATCTACAAACCAATAAAAATTCTGACAGCTGCTGTCTACCAACCTGCAGGGCACTTTTTCCACAGTGAATTCTGTGCCTTGCTCAGTGTTACTCTCCTCAATGCTTGCCCTCATACCTCAACATATGATATCAACATTGATATTCCCTCAAACACCTTTACATCCCAGTTCCTCAATTTACTCCTATCACATGACCTACTCCTCCACCCTACCTCAGCTATGCACTGAAACAGCCGTACCCTTAGATCCTGCCACAAGTTTATAGTGGACTCGGTCAGTTTTGTTATCTTCTCCCGTGGTCAGCTGTATGTGTATAGGAGTGAAGGAAGCAGATGATGGGAGTGATCCAAGTCTGAGTCTTTGCAGGACAAGATTAGTGAAACGGTAAGGAGGGAAAGAGACTCAAGAGGGCAGGACAGGGCAGGGCAGGGCAGGGCAGGATGAACTGATTCAACAGAGGATCAAGATGGGAAAAGGAAGAAAGTATAGCCAGTATAGGGGTGGCTGGCTTGCGAAAGAATTAAAGTGTCAAAGAACTGGAGGCGATAGTGAGGATGAGGAATAGAGTCTGGCGTGGCAAGGCAGAGGAAGAAGTGAAATAACAGACTGTGATAAGGCAATTTGAGAGTTCATAAACATGGAAGTGGAACATTTGTGAGAGTTGACAATCAATGCCTCCATCTTCTTTTTCTCACTCTCTTCTTGATTCTGCAGTGTGGCTTCCAACCTCATCATTCAAAGAAAACTGCTGTCTTCAAAGTTACCAATGATCTCTACATTGCTAAATCTACTGGCCTTTTCTCAATCCTCAGCTCTCCTGACTTCCCTGAAACCTTTGACATTACTGATCACCCCCTTCTAGATATTCTGTTCTCTCTAGGTTTTTTGTGACACTATTCTCCTTGGTTTTCCTCCTACCTATCTGATCATTTTTTTCTCAGTCTCCTTTGCTGGATCTCCATTCAGGTCATGCCCACAAACTGTCCTGGGCCCTCTTCTCCCCTCCCACTATACTACTTCACTTGGGGATCTCATAAGCTTCCATGGTTCACTTTCAAATCTATATATCCAGCCTTAAACTCTATTGACCTTCAGTCTTGCACCTCCAACTTCCTATTAGAAATCCCAGACTGGATTCCAATAGTAATCTTAAACTCAATATGTCTCAAACTGAACTCATTTACTGTCTTTCCTCTCCACCTTCTTCAGAAAGCCTTTCTCAGTCTCTTAATTCTAGTGCCTTCCCTCTGCTGATCATTTCCAATGTATACATGTTCCATGTAAATAGTTGTTTGCATGCTGTCTAATGAAGATTAGATTGTGAGCTCCTTGAGAGCTGCAGCTGTCTTTTGCCATTTTTTTTTTAAAGTATCTTCAGCATTTAGCACAGTGCCTGGCACCACAATACACACTGAATAAATGTTTATTGATTGACTGATTGGCTGATGGTCTCTATATCTAGACAAGTCACTCTCACTCCAGTTTACTTCTAAGATCCACATTGTGGGTTTCCAACCATACAGGATTCGTCTTCCTGGAGCCCTCTGCTCTTGCTGTCTCTACATAAGGAGCCTTACAGGTCCATCTATGGATGCCCTGAGAGACTGCTGGCTTGTTGGCCTACAAAGTCCTGGTTTTCTGCTTGGTCCCTTTCTTCTTGCCCCTCTGCTTCTCTATGACTTTTCATGCATTTCTGGTTTTGGGGAAGGTAACATCACTGAAGTTTCTTATAAGATTAATTTTTTGATACTTATTTGTTCTGCTGCTATTTTAGCTCCCATAGATTTAATTACCATGAGTATGCTGATGATTCTCAAATCTACTTATCAAGCCCCAACATCTCTGTTGACCACTAGTCTGATCTCCAACTACCTCCTGAATATCTGGAACTGGACGTCCTGTAACATTTTAAACTTAACATGTTCAAAACTGAAATTTATCCCTAAACCCTCCCCAGTAAGTATCATAGACTTGCAACCTAGGTGTCATCCTTCAATCCTCATTCTCACCCCCACATTTAATCTGTTGTCAGGGTCTGCTGATTTAACCTATGTAACATTTTTCAAACCCACCCCTTCGATCCTCTAAATGCCACCACCATGGTGCAGGTACTCACTGCCTTACACCTAGGCCAGTCACACTCTGCCTCAGTGTCCTCAGGCAATTCTTAAGACTGAGTTTCAGAAAAGGCACTTGTTTGCCTTGGTAAAGGAAGCTTCTGACTGGATCTCCCTACACTGATGAAATCACAGATCAGGTTCCCCCAAAATGTTCCTGAGGTTCTCAACCAAGATCCATGATGATGAAGAACAGAGTCTTGAGTTGCAAGGCAGAGGAAGAAGTGAAATAATAACAGATTGTGATAAGGGAATTTCAGAGTGCCCTCCAATTCTTTGACTTCTTAGTTCTGTCACAGGCCAATCACCCCTGTACTGGCTATACTCTCTTCCTTTCCCCCTTTTGATCCTTTGGTGAAATATAGTCCTTAATCTTCTTCTCAAGAACACCAGACTGCTTTCTTTGTTTCTCTCTGCCTGCTCTCCACAATGCCACCTCCCCCAACTCTCCATTAAAAAATGGAAAGTTTAAATGTCCAGCTCTTACCTATATTTTTCCTCACATCAACACATTTTCTGATCTCACGGACAGTAACAATGTATTTGTAACTTTTGAGTAACCCCCTAAAACCGGCTCCTTTAACCTGGGTCACCCATTCTGTTCAGAAATACAGGAATTGGAGGGGCAGCTAGGAGGCGCAGTGGATACGGCTCCAGCCTTGGAGTCAGGAGGACCTGACACTTACTAGCTGTGTGACCCTGGGCAAGTCACTCAACCCTGATTGTCTCACCAAAAAAGCAAAAAAAAGAAAGAAAGAAAAAAAAGAAAATGTAAGAATTGGAGAACTATTTTTTTCAAATTTCCATTATACTATTATGAAGCATAAGAGCTCAGAAGCCCTGGGTTCCAGTCCTGCCTGTGACACACAGCTGTCTGACCTTAGTCAAGAAACTAAATCTGAGAGCACCCCTGAGAGCTACTAAGATAGTGGTCTCCAAACTTTTGTGATCATATACCCCAAGTGTATACCCCCAACATATGTCTAATTAATTATTTACAAATTTTATACATGTAATACTTAGTAATAAATGTATATATTAAAAAACTCACACAAAAAGATAGAAATTTAAAAAGAGAGACAAAGACAAAGTAACATCTGAACCTGGAGTCAATGAGTCAATTAGGCAGCCACAAGAATTTGCTGAGTAAGAAAGTGAGATGGTAAAACTTATGGTTTAGAAATAATGCTTTGTTAGTTGAGTGAAAGATGGATTGGAGAAGGGTAAAACATGGACCAAAATATCAATAAGGAGGCTACTGTAAGAGGACAGCTAGGTGGAGCTAGTGGATAGAGTGCTAAGCTTGGAGTCAAGAAGACCTCAGTTCAAATGCAGCCTCAGACACTTCCTAGCTGTGTAACTCTGGGCAAGTCACTTAACCTTTGTTGCCTCAGTTTCCTCATCTGTAAAATGGGGATAATTATAGCACCTACCTTGAAGGGTTATTGTGAACATAAAATGAGATAAATTTTATATACAGTGTCTAACACATAGTAGGTACTACATAAATGTTTAGCTATGTAATAATAATTATTAAAAATGATAATAATATGAACTTAGGTGGTGGCTATGCAGATAGTGAGAAAAGGATTGATGCAAGAAATGTTGTAGAAGTAGAAGCAACAAACCTTGGTAACTGTTTAGCTATGTAGGATGAGGGAGAGTGAGGAGTCAACAATGATATCACAGCTATAAACCTGGGTGATGGGAAGGATGGTGGTGCCTTTGACAGTAATAGGGAAAATCTGGAAAAGGAGCAGACTTGGGGAAAATACAATATAATGATATCTGCAATGATGGCTCATGTATGCCTATCCTTTTGTCACATCCAAAATGAAAAAGGGGGGAGATACTACTACCCTCCAAGAGGTGATCTGGGGATAGGTATTTTTTCCAATTGTACCTGCTCAGCTTCCTCTGTGGGTATCCATGTAGTGATTAGGTTATATGTGATCTCAAAGCTTAGCTCAGGATGGGGGAGGCTGGGAGCTTACACAGTAGAGGGAAAAGTGGGGAGCGGGGGAATAGCAAGGTTAGTTAGTGATTGTGTGGTAGACAAACTCCATGATTGGTGATTTTTGAGACGGTGGGATCCAATCTGTCTTCCCACTCTCTGATTAGTTAAGCACATATCTCTTAGGGTCATATCACTGGCCTCACTTTGGAGACCATGATTCTAAGTTGCAGATGAGCTGCTTATATGTGTTACTGAAGGAGTTTCCAAATTGGAAGTTCCTTGCACAGATGAAATCACTGGTCTGGATGCCCAAAATGCATAATTACACATCAGTTAGGATTTTAGGGCCTAAATTACAGAAAATTAGAAGCTGTTAGGAGATTCAGTCTACACTTAACACCAGCAAGGACATTCAACCGATAATCTTGTTCATTCTTTACCTGATCGATATCTCTCATCTCTAGCTCCCCCAGATCGACCTCGGTGGTACTTGGAAGAGGTTGAGGTTGGTGCTGCTGATGGAGCTGTCTGGTTTTTGTGTTCCTTTTGAACTGTGGAATCAATCCCTAGGAGGGGGAAAAAGTGTGGAAGACTTTTCATACTTAAATAAAAACAAACCAAAGTAATAATGGTCAAAAGATGTCACCTTACAGGAAAAAACAATAAAAACAAACAAAAGGATAATCTTTTGGCCAGCTGTGATTTTTAAGATTAAAAAAATGAAATAAGGAATATTTTCTACTTCTGCCACAACCTGCTCCTTTGCTCATGTTGGTCTAAAGTTTTAAGCCTCCCTTAATACATAGAAAATAAGTGCAAAAATGCTATTACTGATAAAGATTAAAAGCTTCAAAGTCACTACCTATATGAAAACATAAATTACCCCATTTCTGCTTGTTTCTAGAATAGAGCAACTTTTTCTTCATTCAGCAACTCCATTCAAACATATAAAAAGTACTGACTAGACCCTCACTAGGGAACCAGGGCTTTTCTAGTTCAGATATCTTGCCACCATTTGTGCAAGCCCTCCTCATCCCATTCCTCATTCCCTTAACCATCCTTCCACATCCTGCTCTGGGAACATAATTAAATCATTGCTACTGGCAAGACTGTGACAATCTGCCATACTACTGTTCCAATAACAATTGTTGTTACTACTCAGAACAAAACTTGGCTCCCATTCTTGAATATGTTATCTTGTCACCCTATTAGGATGTAAACTTCAGGGCAAATACTATTTCTTTATTTCTATTCCCAGGGTCCAGCACAATGCTTGGCACATGATAGGTGCTTAACAAATTTATGTTCATTCATTCATGAAAAGCACTGGAAATAGAAACATATAACACAAATTCTGCTCTCAAAGAATTTACTATCTAATGGGGAAAATTAAATGTATACAAATAACCAATACAAAGGAAAGCATGAGAAGTGTAAAGGAGAGAACCATGTGGCATGAGAAGTTTCAGGAGAGAGAGATCATTTTTACCTTTGGAGGGAAAGGCTGAGGAGAGGTAGAACCTCAATTGGTCCTTGAGCAGAGAAAGGGATTATATCAGACAGAGATAAAGGTGAGAGGATGTTCAATTCAGGCATGGTAGACAATGTGGAAAAGTACAGAGAAAGGAGAGGGTATGATAAGAATATGGGCTGAAAAGTAGTCAAATTAAACCACTAAACACCCCGAAAGAGGATATTTGAAAATGAAGTAGAACAAGAGTGGAAAATTAGATCATCACCAGAATGTAACAGGCCTTAAATACCAGGATCCAGGACTCTGTGTTTATTTGGCAGGCAGTGGAGATCCTGAAAATTTTTTTAGCAGAAGTGACATCTGGGCAGCAGAAAGATGGATTAGAGAAAGGAGAGATGAAGGTGGCCATCTAAACCAAAGGTAATGAGGGCCTGAACTATGGAGACTACATATGAAGTGGCATGGCTAGAGATATCCAAGGTGGAATCAACAGGGTTTGGAAAGTGATTTTATGTGGGCAGTGAGAAGGAAGTGTAAAAGAGAACTTTGAGATTATCTCAGCTAGAGTAAGTTGGGAGGATGGTGGCACTATTAACAGGCAAAGGGAAGTCAGGGGAAAAATGAGGGTGTTTTTGCTTTGTGTCGTTTTGTGGGGGACATCTGGACAGGCTGAATTTGATGTGCTGTTGGGCATTTACTTGGAGGTATACAATGGGAAGTTAAATATATAAGAGAGGAGAGCTCTGGGGAAAGGTTTGGAATGAAAGCAGAGATTTAGGAGTTATCCCCAAAGAGGTGACAAAGTAAAATGGGAGAAGTGAATGAGATCCCTGAGAGATAAGGTTAAAGACAGGGAAAGAGAGAAGAGGGCCAATGCCAGAATTATTGGGAACATCGACTTTTTATGAGACAAGAAAAGGATGAAAAGTCAACAAAAGAAACAGGAAGACAGGTTAAATAGGTCACAAAAACTAAGGTAGAAGGGAGTATCAAGAAGGTGGGTCAGTGTCAAATACTACAGAAGTAAATAAAGAAGAATGAGGACAGAAAAAAGGCCACTGGATTTAGTCAAACGAGGATTAATACTAAGACTGGAGAGAGCTATTTTAGTACAATGGTGAGTGAGTACATCCGAAAATCATCAGAAACTTAGATTAATCTGAAAAATAAAAAGTTCAAACTCACTTTGGTCCATTAAAAAGAAAAAAAAGAATAATAGGGGGCAGATTTCTTTGGGTTTATGCACATTCTTCAAAACATAGCTTAAATTGTCTCTCTTCTATGAAACCTTCAATTGGAATTGATATCTTCTCTTCTCTAAGTTCCTACAGAATTTAATTTATGTCTTGTCCATCTGACTAGATTACAAACAATGGAGATAAGAATTCTATTTTACATACAATGTCTAGCATACTAACACCTCATATCTAAAAAAGCATATCTAGAACATAATCATGAAGTAAATCTGTCCACCCAGGTCTCAGAAATACCAAATAAAAGCGACAAAGTTCATGTACTTGTTCAAGCACTTCAGTGGTAGAAGAGCACCTCAGAGTAAATCCTCCCTCCCCCTCCATTTTTCAAGTTTCTAAGCCCACAGAGGCATATAATCTTAAGATTTACAAAGCCTTTTCCTCACAATCCCATAATTAGTGTGAATATCATTATTCCCATCTTACAGATAAAGAAAATGAGTCTCAGAGAAGTTACACAACATCATAAAACTTTATATATAGTAGAACCAGGGTTTGGAACTCAGGTCACGTAACAATAAGACCATTCCACCATTCTATCTCACTTTAGATTGACTCTTATTTATTGCCCAAGGATCACAAAAACACACAGCCAGACTCTTAAAAAGAAGAAACCAACTAGGTGTTCTAAATTTGCACTGGCAATATACAGTATTTTCAAAGAAATGCTGAGTTCTGCAAAAGACCTCTTTTAGATAAGGCATGTAAGGCTTCAACCATTTACTGAAGAAATAACCACTTAAAAAGCATATTCTCAGTGATTTAAAAATAGAGAACAAAAACAAGAAAGGAGCTATTTTTACAATCACATTTTGCGTTCAGGAAGGAAATTAAGAGTTACACACACAAACAGCTTTTCTTATACAGACACAAAGAAGGAAAAAGTGTTTGGCTTATACTCAACTCATTCAGACACTAGATGAAGTTTGGAAGTTCACTGCTATTTATGACTTCAGCATGAACTTTCTACCACAGCATGTTAATGAATATGTCTACATAATTATCTAACATTGATTCTTTTTCTAATTAGCAGTTTCTATGCCACCAAAAGAAAACTCTAATTACTTTCAGCAGTCATAGCCTTGAAAGGCAGCAAAGCAGAGTGGACAATGAGCTGGCCTCACAGTCAAGAAGACCTGGACTCAAGTCCCACCTCGGAAGCTTTGTGGCTCTGTTACCCTCACAACTGCCTACTGTAGGCAACTCTCTTAGCCTTACAGAAGGTCCTGCTCTGTACTGATACAGGAAGTTCCTTAGTGCTAGTTTCCCACAACAAAATTAACAGGCCTAGTTCAAAAGCCACAACAAAACAGTTTTAGCCTAAGGGGTCAATGATGAGTATACAAGGACAGATCAAAACCACTCTGCTTGGTGGGATTAAAAAAAAAAATCAGAATGTTGAGGTATTAGAAAATTTTCATCTCTCCTACTCATTTATGCTCTTCATTTTGGCTTTTAAAAACAGACCTAATTAGAATGGATGTGGGAAGATAATGACTGCACAGGAAAGAGTAACAAGATTGGTGAGGAGGGGATAAGTGAAGGGTAACAAAGATGGGGCCCAATACAGTGATGGATGGCTATGTGGGAATATGAGAACTGAGAGATGGCATGTGCTAGGAACAGAGGACAACAACTGAAGATATGTATTCAAGACTTTATAAGATTATCAAACATAAAACTATAAAGTCAACTGATGGGAAAAGCGATTCACATGACACAAGTCAAGAGTTCTTCAATTATTCACCATAGAATTCATTTATTGAGCATTCAATTCAGCAAGGTCCTTCCTGTGTGTCAGGTGCTATATAAAAGGGCAGATACAAAGAAAAAATTATACCATTCCTTCCTACATTCTACTAGGGGAAAACAGCATGTAGACAGAAAATTTAAGTAAAAATATATACATAGAAATTTCTGGGCAGAGTGCCTGTGAGGGGAAGTGTTTAGGAGAAGAATGTTAGAGGAGGTGGCACTGAGGAAGGAGTATATTTTAGGCATGGAAAGGGGAGAAAGACGTGCAAAGGCAAAGAGTTGGGAGATGGAATAATACAGCTCAGATAGCAGTAAGGAGGTTAGTCTGGCTGGACTGTAGAGTTATGAAGGAGAGCGATAATATATAATAAACTAGAGAAAAGTAGGGTAGAGACAGACTGTGACGGGTTTTAGAAACAAACTGAGGAGATCGTATTTTATCACATTGGAGAGAGGGAGTCAATGGAGTGTTACTGAGCAAAGGAATGCCATGGGTTAGCCCTTTTTTTATAAGATATGTGGAAAATGACTGGAGAGGGGAGAGAGTGGAGACAAAGAGATCAATTAAGAAGTTATGGAAGGCAATGTCGTTTCCCCTTTATTTGACATATGTTAGTTATAGCAATAAGGCAAGAGAAAGAAATTAATTAAAGGCATAAACATGGGTAAAGACAAGACATAACTATTCCTGTTTGCTATAACGTGAAGGATTATTTATAATATCCTAGACAAAAAGCAAAGAAACTGAGATAGTAGCTTCAATACAGCAGTAGGATACAAAATATATTAGCATTCCTATAAACCAAGGATTCTTAACCTGGAGGGTGTGAACCTGTGATTTTATAAAAATATATATTTTAATACTTTTTAATATAATTGGTTTGCTTTGTAATCTTGTGTATTTTATTTTAATAGCATTTTTTCCAATTACATGTAAAGATAGTTTTCAACATTCATTTTTTCATAAGACTTTGAGTTCCAAATTTTTCTCCCTGCCTCCCTTGCCTCCTCCCTCCTCAAGCCAGCGAAGCAATCTGCTATAGGTTAAGTATGTGTAATCATGTTAAACATATTTCCACATTAT